TTCCTATCTATACCAGTGTACATCCTCTGGTCCAGCCGGATTTGTAAGGTAGAATTGGGATCATGATAGTAGGGTGGAGGAAGCATTCAAGAACTCTAGGAAAATTGTATGTTTCATCATTGCTACACTGCACCCTGACACTGGCTCATCTCCTCCCCGTGACCCTTCTGTATGGGGATGTTCTATTGCCCACAGATAGGCCCTGGGTCCCCACTCTGCACTCTCCCTCATTCACAACGCTATGATATTTTTGGTCTTTGATGCCTGATACCTGATCCCTTCGACACCTCGTGATCTCACAGCCTGGTGTGCTTCTTTCATGTGGGCTTTGGTTTTTCTCAGCTACATGGCTGCCTCTTTATCTTCAAGCATTTAAGACCCCAGACACTATATCTTTTGATCGCCGGGCACCATCAGCTTTCTTCACCACCTTTGCTTGTGCACCTGTTGTCTTCTGCGATTGTGCCAGGAAGGTGAGCATCTCAGAATGCCGAATTGTTAGAACAAAGTGTTCTTGTGCTGAGGGAGCACTTGAGTATGGGCCCACTGTCCATGTTTCCTTAATACTAAACCTATAAATATATGTAATAAATCTATTTCCCCATCTTATGTAAATATATTTACATATGTATATGCCTATATTTAGATCTCTATGAATGCCCTTTGCCTCCTAGCTCATTCCCCTATTTATTTATACTTTCCTCTTGTCCCACTATCATGTTCAGCCTTCATTTGGGTTTCAGGAATTCCTTTCAGCTACATTGTCCTTAATCCAGCCCTGCAGATCTCCTACACCCTCCTTGCCACTGATTTTGGGTCACTTGTTGTTCCCTTGTCCCTGGGTTTGTTAACACCCACTTCTTTTCCCCTGCCTCCCCCTCTCTTATGTCTCCCGAACTGTCATCCCATTGTTTTCTCTTCCGGCTTGTTTATTCCGCCTATCCTTTCCAGGTAGACATGCAGCGACAACAATATGCACCAACACAAGACCAAGTACAACGAAGCAAAAATAGAAAAAACAATAGCTACAACAACAAAACCCCCTATAAATAGTTCAGGGTCTATTTGTTGTCCTTTACGAGTGCTTTCCAGTCAAGTCTGATGGGGTGCCATGCCATGGCCCCACATCTATCCCTAGCATTCCCTGGGGACTTCATTGCTCTGCTCCCCCCACTGCTCTACTGCACACTCCCAGTGGCTGGCTTCGGCGTAGTGGGCTCAGGGCAGGCACAATTCCCATGGTGTATCTCTAGGGTTGTCCCCTGTGGTGCTATGGGTCAGTAAGGAATGCTGTGTCCAGGGGTGGGACTGGCCCTGTGATCGTCTCTGTGCATTGGCTGCTCTGAGCAGAAATATTGTACTCAGGGGTTGGTGAGCCAGAAATGTGCTTCACTTTTTTTTTCCTTCCCCCCTTGTTGGCTCCTGGGTGCTCTCATCAGACAAGTCCTCTCCTTGAGCTGCAGCTTCAGTGCTGTCCTCTGACGTGAATTCTTTTGGGGGGAGGGTGGTGCTGTCCACTTAGTTGGTAATGGGGCCCACCCCTCTTCCATTGCTTTTGAGTGTTCTCATATCTCTTAAAAGGACTGAAAGCATCATTCTTCTGAATTCTGTTTCTGGTAGATACGGGGCCTTTGCTTTAGAGTACTTCATTGGGTTTTCGTGATTTTGTTGTTTGTGTTTGTTTTTCTTGATTTTGGGGGGCTTACTGTGGTTGCTGTCGCTTTGACATCGTCGTACAGCTGTTAATTGTGAGCTGCTGGGTCATGTAGAAACAGTTGGCTTTGTCTAGAGAATTAGGAGCAGTCTAATAGGAGCTTGAAAGCATATGGTGGTGAAATGGGGACAAGGGGAGAGAGAAGAGTAAGTGGTGAAAGTGGTGGTGGATGGGGAAGAGTGAGAATAAAATAAGAGTAATGATAGTAATAATAAGCAGCTATCAGGATAAGCCAGCAGATTAGTAAAAATAATGGGAAAGTATAATTTAAGAAGGGTAACTGGAATTAATGTTTCATGGAAATATATTTCACAAGGTAAAAAAGCAGAAATCATGGATTGACATACAAGGAAGAGGGACAAAGAAACAAGATTGGGTGTGGGTGCTGAGTTTGTTTGCTGCAGCAGCGTAAATGAAGGTGTATCTGTGCGCTCAGGAAAAAATAAGCCTTTGTTTCAGTAGGGGTGCCAGAACGTACAGGCCTGTCAGCTTCTCCCTGGGGGGATGTGTATTTTCAGGAGGGTATGGTTGCATAGAAGTGGGAGAGAACTACAGTAAAATATATATATATACATATATTACAATGAAACAAAAGTCTAAAACCGGAAGTAAAGAAAACTGCCCTGTGGGTGGGAATTCCTGCCCCTTTGGTATTGCATGGGGGAAGTATGGCACATGGGCAGGGAGGGAAGCAGAGAAGGAGGGGGTGGGGGGTGGGGGGAATTAAGTGTGGGTTTTGATTGTTTGCACCAAGCTGTCCATGCGACCTGCTGTTCACCAGCACCCCCAGAGGCTAATGAGATGAGGTTTGGTTGGCTAGGCTGCCTCAGTGGTGGGGAAATTGGCTGTGCCAGGGAGGAGCCAACCCGACAGAAGCAGATTATGCCATCGGTCAGTGGTGGAAATGAGTCTATCAGCAAGCACTGCTGCTCTCCCACGTTAGGAGTGTCACTTCCAGAAAGTACAGGAGAGCCCCTCTGGCGGGATTTCTCTGGGAGTTCCTGAGATCTGTCTGCTTGTTTTCTGGTGGCCGTGAGCCTCCAGCTCGGAGAGACTGCCCATCAATAGAGTTTTAAAGCAGGTTTGTGTTGTTCCCACTGCCCTTTCTTGGAGAGACAGAAACCTGATAGTGGTCGGCTTTTGATAGAGAAACTTTGCAATTGTCTATAGCTATCTTTTTCTTCTCTTTCTTTTCATAAAATGCACTCATTTAGAAAACTCTATGTTGAAGATTGTCCACCCCTGCTGGGGACATAACTGTGGACAGGGCAGTATCCCTGCCCTGGTGGAGTTAACAATAGACAGGAAACATTATTTTAAAGGTGGAAAGTGCTATTAAAATGCTATCCTGGGGCTGTGACTGTGTGTGTGTGTCTGTGGTGGGGAGTGGTAAACTTTAAAGTTCTGAATTCATACAAGATGGGGAAAGAGCCATTCCTCTATACACTCATTATCACATCCAGAAAAAATAGAAAAAAAGATAGGGGGGCGGGGGAATGTGTTTTGTCTAAATCCATTGCCCAGTGCAGGGAGGCTTGGTCCAGACTTGTCAAGTGACAGCCAGGAATTGGCTTGCACAAGCCTTTGGTGAAGCTGAAAGGGGCTCACCTGGCTCAGGGGCCAGTTTGAACAAATGACAAGCAGTTAATATAGTGTGAAGAGCAGATATGTCTATATAATAAGTGAAGGAACTTCAGTTTCCTAGTGGATTCTTTTTTTAAACCATGCGTGTGCTCACCATCAGGACCTCAGGAGCCAGATCTGCGCAGAAAGAGTGAGTATATTTCCAACCGAGGCTAATACGCCTCCTAGTGGATCCTTGCTGAGATCCTGTTGCAGATTGGGGAGCATTCTAGAGCTCTGGGCATGAAGCTTGCCTCTGAGGGTTTGCAGTCTACCTGTGCCCATGTTTAGGTAACAAAACTGGTCTGGGCCCCAGGAGCTTGATTTTCCTCAGCAGCAGCCACTACGTTGATGTCCCACTTACAGTCGAGAGCAGAAAGAACTGCTGCGTCCCTTTCTGGCCCTTGCTAGTTTCCTCATGACAGAATGTGGGAACGTTTGGCTTAAAAGGTAAGACTTTCAGTGTGTAATATGTTTTACTTTTTGCTCTCCCTAGTAGAAACTAGTTGCATGCTTGCACACCTTGTAGATTGGCAGCCCACCCTATCCCCATCCCCAACCCTTACCTTATGGCTCCGTGCTTTGGTTCCCTGTATAGAATGTGTCGGAGAAGGTCTTAGAATAATCTTCCAACAGGCTAATTCATCTTATTCAAGCCACTTGGATAAAGAGTTGCCTCTGCTGAGTGCCAGTGCTGGCTGGGTGCTGCTAAGAACATGCTGGATCATGCCTGGGCCTTCTGGGCCACTATGGAATGGGGACGGGTTAACATGGCTAATGACCTGAAACTGAGAAAGCAATCAATAGGAAAGGAGACTAAGTTCTGATGTGGGAAGGGCAGAGTCAAAATTTGTCTATGAGAAAAGCCTGGGCTACAGCCCTATGAGCAAAAACAGTCATACCTCATAGTGCTTGCCAGATGTCACACAGGTTCCAAGAATATCATGTGCACTTTTAAAATAGTGCACTCAAAAATAGCTGCTACTATTATTTCATCGTACAGGGCGAATGATGTGGGGAGTCTCTGCTCATAACTATTTTGCTTTTCTGGAAGGAAGGCACTGAAGGGCCTGGGCCTGACTCATAGAACATGATGGTCTCGTGGGCCCTTCCGCCTGCACTGGGCTGGGATTCTGTCTTCCCAAGGCAGGACTGGAGGAGGAACCAGCAGAAAGAAGAGTGACCATTTCTAGTCCACCTTGGGGTACTAACCCTGCAGTGACCAGAAACATTAGGTCCATGGCTTGAACCCCAAGTACTGTAGAGCTGGGACTTGTCTGCCAGTTTCCTTGATCACGAAGAGCCTTGGTGGCATAGTGGGTTACATGTTCAGCTTCTCGATGTAAGGTCAGCAGTTTGACTCCACCAGCTGCTCTGAGGGAAGAAAATTAGGCCTTATATTCCCATAAAGATTTATATTCAAAGAAACCCAAAGGGGCAGTTCCACTCTGTCTGGTATGGTTAGTATGAGTCAGAATTGGCTCAATGGCAGTGAGGTTTCTTTGGTGCAAAACAGGCCTTTGAACAGGTTCACTCGTTTGACCAGAACCAGTTCAGCCTTGAAGCCCTGGTGGCATAGTGGGTAATGTGTTAGCTGCTAACCAGGTCAGCAGTTCAAAACCACTAAGCTACTCTGTGGGAGAAAGTCGAGGCTTTCTGCTCCCACAAAGATTGAGTCCCAGATACCCACAGGGTCAGTTCTACGACAGGGATGCTGTGAGTCAGAGTGGACTCGATGGCCCCTATGAGGGAAATGGATGAAGCGGTTGATAAAGGGCAGATTTCTAGAAGAGGTGGCATTTCCTTACTTGATGTCTGAAAGAATGAGATGATTTAGCAAGCAATGGCTAGCTCTCCAGAAAGAGAGCTCTCCACTGTGAACAGACCAAGAGGCTTCCATGTGGACCAGATGGATAAGGGACGATCGTAGTTGCTTGAAGTATAAATGTAATCATGTACTAATAGTTTGGGGTCAAGTTATAAGCAACCCCAAATTCCCACGTAAGTGACGTAGACGTTATTTGATAATCACCAAACCAAAAGAAGAGTTACCTTACATATTTGGAGAGGTTTGATTGGGGAAGGGATGACCTTGAGAGGTACTGTCCTAATAATTAGCAACTTGATTATAATAAGCCTGGATCAATTTTTTCCTGTTTGGGGTTCATTAAGCTTCTTGAACATGTGGGTTTTTGTACCACTACTATCAATGCATTCTGACTCATGGACCCTTCACAGGGTGTCCGAGGCTTTGTAAATCCGTTTAGGAGCAGCCAAGTACATCCTTTCCCAATCAGCAGCTGGTGTTGCAGCTAGCAGTCCACTTACCTGACAGCATCAATGGGTTCAGATAGTTTAGTTTGAAAAAAACTCCAGCAGCTTCTTCAAAGGTGTTTTCTGATTTCCTCTTCCAACGTAGCGGTGTCCCATCCGCCGTCGACTGCAGTGCCCTCATTAGCCCCCGCAGTCAGCAGTCCAGTTCGCGAGTGTCGTTCATCTTTGGAGCCTTTTCATTTTCATTTTGCCAGTTTTTCCCGTCTAGTTTGTTGTTGATTCCATTCAGTACATCTTTCATTACGAGTACTTTTCACATCCAGAGATTATTAGGCATCGTTATAGTATCTATTTGTTTATAGTCTTGAATATATGGATTATATAACTCAGTTTTTGTCTGTTAATTCTACCTTTTGTGTAATGGAGTCTGTTAATTTTTTTTACTAGTTCTGAGTTGTATTTTCTTATTTCTCTGCACGCCTGATACTTTTTATTGGCTGCTATCTACCTGCCAGCTGCCATCTAATCCAATTTTGATTCATAGTGATTCTATATAAGATTTCAAAGGCTGTTAACTCTTTGTGGGCGCAGATAGCCTCATCTTCTCCCCCACAGTTGCTGGCCAACATGAACTGCTGGCCTTGTGGTTAGCAGTACACCCTTACTCAACACCCCCACCAGCGCCACTTTCTTGGATGCTAGGTATGTGAATTTGGGACTGAATATTGGATTTTGTTGTATTGCATTAAATATCTTGGAGCTTACTCAGGGAGTTACTTGGAACTACATTTCATCCTTTGAGGCTTGCTTCTAAGCTGTATTACAGCCCACAGTACTGCAGCAATACCCTTGGTGACAGCTAGCGTTGTGCATTATTCCTGGTACCGAGTGAGCTCTCTGGATTACTCTACTTTTTGTGTTGGCTCTTTCCTAGCCTCGGAGATTTCCTCCTATGCATGTGCCCATCAGTGTACAGCCAGACTCGATGGAGTATCTGTTTGACAATATTCAACAAAGTTAAACCTTACTAGAAATTAGCAATCACACATCTAGGACCCTACCCTGAAGATGATCTCCAACAATATAAAAACACACATATACAGGGTTTCCTTGACACATGAAAAATACGCTAAATAACCTACCTGCCTCTGGTGTATTCACGTAACAGAGTACTATGTGGCTGTACAAAGACTGATGAATACTTACGTGAGGTGATCACTCTATAAAGTGATTTCCAGATAGATCATTGAGCTCTGTCCCTTAGGAACATAGTCATGCTTCAGCTACTCTCCACACACACCCTCCCACAAAAGTAACTAACATTATGTAGGACATATACATGTGGCTAGAGTTTGAGTTGGTTCTGTCTCACAGTGACCCTATGAACAGAATGAAATACTGCCTCGTCCTATGGCATTCATGCAATTGTTTTGATGTTTGAGCCCATCCCATCGAGGCAGCCACTGTGTCGATCCACTGTCCAAGGTCTTCCTCTGTCACCGCCCCTCTACTTTACCAAGCACGATGTCCTTCTCTAGGGACTGGTCTCTCCGGGCAACACGAGCAAAGTGAGACAGAGGATACATATATGGGAGTACCCAAAGTGGAACAAATAGACTAACAAGCAGATGATCCTAGCTGCATTATACATTATAGTACCTACACTCAGGGGAGCTGAGGTGTCAAAGTAACCGGGGAACATTATTTTGGCTGGATAATTTAAGGTCAAAACTAAAATGCTTGTTAGCAAATGTATTTTTCATACATATATGGGTTAGCAATTCTGAAATGTGTATACTATAATTAAGTTAAAATGTAGATAATGAAAGCTGAGTTTCTCAACATAGAAATAGAAGAGAAAGGCTAAAAATAAACCCTCTGGTGTTGAATTTTGAATTGAAATCCCAGGTATTAGTATAAAATTCTTGGTTATATGTGTATTTTACTTTTCCAAGAATGTTTTGAAACCTTTTCATATGTGTATGTGTGGGTTAGCATACTTAGAGATATTTCCTAGCTCTTTTTCCACAGAGAGGGCCTAACCTGAGCGATACACACATAGCAGTGAACACACCTAGTACTCGGCTGGTGGCTTCTGAATAAAATAAAAGTGCATTTCCAGAGTGGGACAGGAAACTACAAGATGTGTAGAACCTTCTGCAGTGCTAGAAGGAAGTTCTTAAAAATTAAAAGGGGGTGGGGGGGATACAAAAGAACATGGGAATGTTTTTATGGAAGGAGTTCCTAATGGACAAAGCTGGAATCACTTGAACAACAAAACAGTGTTATATTACAAAACAAAAATAACACATTCAATGAAGTAAAACATTGGGGAGAAGGCCAGCTGTACTTTACAGCAGCATTCCAATTAATACATGTAAATGACAATAAGCAAATGTCACAGTTATGATTGTTGCAGATAATAACTTAAAATTAGTGGATACAAGTTTGAGAAGATAGTTTCAAAGTATCTTCCTCAAGCTACGTTTTAACAACAAAGGGGAAAATGGCAACTTTAAAATGGAGTAAACTGGTAAAAACTATTTTAAATAAGTGATCAAGGTCAACCTGCAAGGTCATGCTGACACCATGAACCTCTTGATGTGATGCACTAAGCAGCAGACATCATCATCTCTCTGGCACTCACGCTGAGAATACACAATTGATTTCCAATGAGAAAACTGACAAATTCCCACTGGGAAATAGAAAGAATAGATTTTTTTCCCAGGGAACTTTTTGAAACCCCCTCATATTAGACAATAACTATTTTTTCTCAAAATGTCAAAGGTCACAGAAGGTAAAAGATTGAGGAAGAAGCATTGGAGAATTTAGTGGGGAAAATCAACTAAAATCTTACAGAGCTGCACTATATTTTTTGGTACTCATACAATAATGTCAGAAAGTGTTGCTACTGGGGGCTCTAGTACATACATGCACATTTTTATTCCAAAGTGTTCAAACGTCTCTGTGGCTAATGGGTGGCTGCAGACAAGTTCTTTCAGAAGTACAGTTGCCTTAGTCCTGTTAGGTGCCTTCAAATAAAACAA